CAGACCTTAATAATATTCCAAATTAATATTTATTTTGTTTATTAAAACAAAAAAGACATACCAACAAGAAGTTTTAGCGCTTATCCAGATACATCACTTTGATGTTTATTTACTGAAGAAGTTATTTTTAAAAAATCGTAAGCTGTACTTAAGAGAAAAAGTGAAAATATACTATCAATAACCATAAATAACAGTAAATCAGATGCTGGTTCACATTGTTGGTTAGGATCATCTGCATTTTGAGCAATATATTTAAATCCAATAGAAACTTGAACTATAGGAATAATACAAGTTATTTATAACACATACAGCTATATACAAATAATATATAGACTTTGTTTTTCATCTTTATGTTCTAATGCTTGACTTTACTTACAATTATCCAAGTGAGAAGAAAAAGACATGGATGAAATCTAATAAGAGATGAAACAATATTCACAGTAAAAGCAAGTGTATAAATAACAAAAGCAATTGATGTCTGTAAGACACATACATGGTTGATAAGAGATACAAACTAATGAACATAAATGAGAAGGTGAAAATAAAAGAATTTTGCTTTTATTATTTTCATCTTGTTTTTGTCGATGTTTTATTGATATTGATGGTAATGGTAATGAAGCACATGCATAAACAGAAAAAAGACTAGCATGTGCATGTTGTAATATATTAAATAAATGTCGTATATGTGACGATTCAAGTAGCATTAATAAATTTTCATATTTAGTTTGGTCAACAAGTTCACTTTTCATTTGTTGTTCTTCAATAAAATATATTTCATGATTATTTGTATTATTAATTAATCCTATAACATCATTAAATGAATATGATGATTGCATAGAATAATCATGAAATGCAAGTTGTCTATTGATATCAATTTGAGCTGAAAATGATGAATAATGTTGAAGAATCATTGAAACAAAATTTAATCGTTTATCTTCATTATTCCAATCTTTATTAACAATTAATACAGAATGAATTTGTCCTTCATCTTCACTGCCACCAATACCTATACCATCTTGACAAAATGCTTTATCAAAAAAGTGCACTAATCATACGTGCTTGATGTTCATCATCATGAATCTTTTAAATACAGAAAAAAAAAATTAACAATGAAATATCTTTGAAAATAAAATGTAAAGTATGATAAAGTTACTTTAATTCAAAACAAAAAGGCTTTTGTAACATTTTATTCATTAATATGTACTATCAATATTAATTATAGTATAGTGATCGTAAAAAGTTCCGCTACCAGATAAAAATTACCTAAGCTTTAACCCTTTAGTCTCATCATTTGGTCACAAATAGAGCACATTAGACTCTAATCGTGAGAACTAAACAGTACTTAATCGGTCTTCATGCGAAGAAGCTAGAAGATCAACATGGATTTTTTTTCAGATGAGAACATCTCAACACTGAAAACAAATTTCATCACGTTAGATCCTTCATTCGACAGCTCAGTGCTGCTTCTATCACCAAATATAATGTCAAACAGTTTTAGTTTGTCTGATTTATAAAGTATTCTTTAGATAATATTTACATCATAGTTGGTGGAAATCGTCGAAAAATGAACCATATCTTCGGCTAATTTTAACTGCTTGCCTTGAAATTTTCTCCAATGAGTATCATGCTCTAATCAAGTTTTCTTTCAAAATTTCACGATCGCAGTTATCAATGAAAAAAAAGATTCTTGCTGACCTTTATTTGCTAATAAGGAAATGCAAGTTAACACATTTAAATAGTGGAAAATCAGAAAAATGTCAAAAAAGCCTTTTTGAATCCTAAGGCAAAAAAAAACAGTATTTTCATGGTAGATTCTTTACATTACTACCTATCGACCTCGGGTTACTGCTTGCAATCAGAGTTTACCGAGCTCTGCTTTTGTCACAAATAGTGTAGAAACAGAAAGAGAGGATGGAAGATACCTTAAACTTTCCTATTATAGTTTTAAATATTCAATCGGAACCATATTTTTAGCATATTCCAAAAGGCCAACCGACAAAGAAAATCATGAATAATTCCTCAACAATTCAAGAAATTGTAACATTTGTTTTTCAGTTTGAACATATATTCATTAAAGTTTTCATATAAAATATATGCACCTAAAGAAGTCAGAATTAAAATAGTTTTATTGATGATTAAATTCAAGTCAACCGAATTCGGTATTAAAACGGCATTTCAGCGATTTTGTAAAAATGGTACTGTCTAAAATCGATCATGTTTTGAAAGACCGTAGAGTATTTACTGGAGAAAAAATTAATGAATTTAAGGATGTTTGTGAAACTGAACTAGAATCAAGTGTTCAGTCTATTTCATAAGTTTGCTCATTACCACAAACAACAACATATCGAATTATGATGGAACATCTTTTCTTAAAGCCATACAAAGCACAGTTTCTGCAACAGTTCTACAAAGAAGGGTTACATAGTTCGAAACTGTTTTTACAGTTACAATGCTGGTTTATTCGAATAGGACCACAACTAAAACTATTTTAATTCTGACTGCTTCAGATGCAACTATTTTACCTGAAATATATTGAATAAAACTTTAATGAATATGTGAGCAAACTATACGAAAACTTACTTGAATTTTTTGAATTGCTGTGGAGCTATTTGCCCTTTTTTCCGTCAGATTTTTGAAACACCTTGTATATCTATGGTTAAATGTTCGTTTCTCAATTTGAGCAATACAATGTATAGTCACCGAACGAATCAAATATTATCTTCGAAGCGATTCTTTTTTTTTAAATCCCTCTGCTTCATTTTTAGTTTTATTGATTAATTCTGATTTTCTGATTTTTTTAACATTCTTTGAAAAAATTGTCGAAAATAAAACAACACAGAGTTACTCGTTAAAACTAAAGACGAATCAAAACGATTTCGAAAAAAAAAAAGACTTCTATTATAACCTAATACAAGAAATTATAATAGTTGAAATACTTCTCAGATGTCAATTGGATAAGAAAATATGATACCCTTACATACAAAACATGAAATTAGTATCATAAATATATATATATTGTTCGAAAGAAAATAG